CACGATGTCACAACTCATGTCACAAACAGAATATGATTGTCTTGTGGGATTTTGCACCGTGCAGTCGGGTAGTTTACCGATATCTTAGAGACGCTTGCTTCCTCCATCATCAGTCTCACTGCTCTGAAGATGGAGGCGGCAAACACCAGTGAAACGTCTATAAAGTTCTACGACAGTACGCGGCGTTACATCCCGGAAGACAGACTTTTTCGAACTCGGATGAATCTTTTTGTTTCTAGTCTTTTTTCAGGCCCCATTAAGGTCCTACCGGAATGTAATTCTGGATATGGTAGTAATTCAAATTCACGCAACTGAAACAGTCCATTTATGGCGAATTAGAAGTTCGCCCCGTGTGTGGTGGGCCGTTTGGAGCTAATGTTCCAGGTATTAGGCCAGGCTGTCAAAAGTGATTCCACGTAGAGTTGCAGACTGGGATGAAACCTCTTGGGCCGGCAATCATGACGGTACTGGTGTCAGTCAGTGTATTTGCAACATCTCCATTAACAACATAACAGTGAACCAACGCACACAACTAAGGTAGTTCACTGTAGCTGTCACAGTCCATGGCATCCATAAACCAGTCCTGTCAGTTCAAACGCCACTCCGTCTTTGTAACCTGGGATTCAGAACGGCTTCTACCTCCAGTGTGTGGAGTGAGTACTCTTGTTGGTACACTGTGATAAAAACATTCAGCCCTAAATAACGCTATGGAACAGCAATTTAATGGTCGCTCACTTAGTCAAGAAATTCCTCGCCGGTTATGGAACACGAAGGTTCATTAACGTGTTCACAAAAGCCTGTCTCCGGTTCCTATCCTGTCTCATGGATTCGGTATGGACCGGATTAATGTGGCAGGTCCGTATTTATTGATCGGAGACTGACTATACTGGTTGAGATTTTTATGTCGAGTCGTTCCTGAAAAAATCAGTGAGGGACTGTTTTAATAACTTAATAATTGTATTCATTTTCCTTTGCATTGTGAGCCTGCCTTTAAGAGTGGCGTGAAAGATCCGGTGCTTGTGGAGTGGTCAGATGTGTTGTATTTGATAGAATAATGCAGACCATTTTGGGGTCTCACGTACTGGCCGTGAGTTGTACCAAGTTTGAGCGATACCCTTTCAGCAGTTTCGGGCTTGAAACGAGCTGGCGGGAGCAGAGACGTGATCTTCTCGTGACGCGTTCAGGACGAAGAGAGCAGAACTTGGAACTTGTCCCGGGGAAAAAAAAAAAAAAACTTCGTTCTGTACGCGAAATGTCATCGAATTTCCCAATCATCATCTGACTCCATAGATCCACAAATAAAATGTTCGTGCTTTTATTACCAATGCTTGATTTCATAATTGATTTTATTTTAGGCGAAGATGCTGAATTTCAGTTTATCGTTCTAGACAACTTACCTTCATCTCGTTTAAGGTTGCACCGAACGTCTGTCTGTAACAGTAACGCTCTAGACGTGCTATCGATGCGATCCGCGGCTGATTCACCGAAGAAAAACAGTCGATCGTTTCACAGAGGGTTTATACCGCGTCGCTGACGTCTTGGTGTGGCGAAAGAAGTACTTTACACGTCCTTGTGCAAAACACGCTTTGTTTCAGAAAAGCGGGCCGTGTAGTTAAAACTTCGCTGTCTAGACCTTCGTTACTTCGCGTGAGCCAGTACCACGTCTTATCGTTTCTTCTGACCTCCC